CGTCTTCTTCAACTTACCTGAGGTCCAACTTACCGTTCTGGGGTTAGATTAATATAGTAAGCGGCGCGAAGCGCCGCGCACACCCTTAATTTACATGCGGAACAACTTACTCCCAGCGGCCGCGGGAAGCAACTTCTACTGCATTTTTTTCACTTTAACCTTCTAAAAATTTCCTTCTCTGCCTATCCTATTTACCCCCCCTCCCCCAAAAATGACCCTATAAACACCGTTTTTGAAGGAAAAAATGCTAAGACTAGGGGTATATGAGTGGGCCTACATAAGCTACTTTTGCCGAGCCACTGGTTGTCTCGGCGTCCGCGGACTACAGAAGACGCTATCTTTCATCTAGCTTAGACTCATTCCCTTTCCCCTCTCTCCCTCCCTCCTTTTCTTCAGCGAGGTCCTGCCCAACGGGGCATCTCCCACACTGAGGCCTTTGATCGCCAGATGCTTTTCCGCAACGAGTACGATCAACTCTTGAGACGTGCAGAGAGCGTTCAGCGTGGCCAGACTCTCTTTGGCCTACCGGTGATGGATATTTCGGACTTGAAAGCTGTGGGTCGACAGCTGGACCTACTTCAGCGCCTGTATGGTCTGTACAGCGATGTTTATAAACTGGCCGGCTCATTTGAAGACCAGATGTGGAGAGACGCCAACATAGATGACATCGAGACTTCTCTTTTGGCTCTGCAGACCAGGTACGCATATGTAGGCCCTCTTTTGACAGGCAGTTTATTTTTCTCTTCATATATTTCACTTCTGGCGGGGTCCAATAGGTTTCAGTTTCAATAGGCAGCTGCTCCTGAGAGTTTAGCTCAAAGCTAAATGTGTGAGACCCATTTAGGTCACCTTACCGTCCAGATTCTCATACGGCAACTCAAGTTGGCGCTACTGACGTTCTATTACGACCCGCGCCAGGTACTTGTAATTAGCACGAACTCTGAGCTAGCCCAGCCTTTGCCCCAAACGCCCGAGGAGAGACTAAGAGAAGTCAATCGGCCAGGAGGAGAAGTGTATTCACAAAAGAACACGGCAAAGCAAGAAAGTGCAAGTCAAGTCGCTCTTACATAAGGCTGTGGGGGTATTTATTCAGTCCGCTCCACGAGCAGGCGCCAGCGGCAGGGGACCGATCAGCTATGAGGAAAAATCGATAGCCACGGCGTGCCCTATCATGACAGCGGCGTGAAGTGCACTTGGCGGCCTTTCTGTAAGATGAGTAATCATGGGGGGTCGGCGCATTCCCAATAGGTTCCTTGTATTCTACCTGTTGACTGTTGACGCTTAAAGACTGAACAGCACATAAGTGGGGATGGCGGTTCCTCTAGTAGGTCAGAACTTCAGGTAAAGGAGTCTACCATCGCACCGATTCAATATCTGCACAGTTTACTGAAGACTCG